CCATATTTAAATTGTTTTAATTGTAAAACGTGATGTATCCAATATTTAGATAGATTTATCACATATCATCCCCTACATTAATGATTTTTTTATATCAAAATACCAAATCACATTTTTCTGGTCTTTGTTTAAATTAGAAATTCAAAATATCATAATCTCGATGTTTACATTGTTTTAATTGTAATACATGATGTATACAAGATTTAGATAGATTTATCACATATCTCCCATAAATTAATGATTTTATTTTTTTCTAAATTTCAAAATACCAAATCCTAAAATTGCGGTTGATTTAATTATTAAACGATATTTTGCGATCATAGATTCGGGTTATCTTCAAACTCAAAATTTAAATTGCCAATATGTAGATATGGACATATTAAATACATATGATCCCTGAAATGAATGATGTTATTTCATTAGAAAACACAAAGTATGAACTTAAGATGTAGATTTATCATGCACGTGTGATAATCCAATTTTACATGCTATGAAAGTCATATTGTTTACCGTGCATCGCACGAGATACGCACTAGTATATTACAAATAACTTTCAATTTTATTATCCAATTTGTTTTCAAATATCATTATGATTTTCAATAGAAATACATATTGAAGTGAAATAGATTTCACCCGGGCTCCTTCAACTCGAACGGCCTCCGCACCTGCAAGAACCCAACGCCGAGGGATCCCGGCTTCGGGCCTCCGATGCCTAAGTCAGTACTCGATCAGATGATAGAGAGAGTAAGTGTAGTAAATGAATGAGGAGAGAATGAGAGAATGTGATACCTTAGCCCCCTTTTATAGGGGGAGTGTACCTTTTTAGGTTCAAGTTGGGCTTGACCCATATTGTTATGCTCTATGTCTTAGTCCGTACGTGGGCTTATCCTCCAATATGGATTCATTGCTACTCCCCCCCTCTGGTCGAGTAAGCATAACTCGATCCAAGAGTGAAATGTCTCTTCGAGCCGTTTTCTTCAACTTGCCATTAAGACCGAGCACCGAAAGTCGAATGACCATTGAATGGCCACTGAAATAACTTCCAAATGAGCATTGAGATTTCAAGATCGAAAATCAAAAGACCGCGAAGGTCGAAAACCGAATGATCGGACGTCGGGGTCATAAATCGAAAGATTTTTCAATAAAGACAAGAACCTAATGACCTGCCACTGAGGTCGAACACCAGAAGTCGAACGACAACTGAAGTCAAAAACTGAATGATCTGATGTTGAGGTCGAACATCGAATGACCCTAAGGTCGGAGGCCGAAAATTGAATGACCACTGAGGTCGAAGTCGAGTGATCCACCGTTGAGGCCGAAAATAGAGAATCGAGAGACCGTTGAGGTCGAAAGCCGATAACCGAGAGAGCGTTGCGGTCGAAAACCAAGAATCGAGAGACCGCTGAGGTCGAAAGCCAAGAATCGAGAAACCGTTGAGGTCAAAAACAGAGAATGGAGAGACCGCTGAGGTCAAAAATAGAGAATCGAGAGACTGCTGAGGTTGAAAGCCAAGAATTGAGAAACCGTTGAGGCCGAAAATAGAGAATGGAAAGACCGCTGAGGTCGAAAACAGAGAATCGAGAGACCGCTAAGGTCGAAAGCCGAGAACCGAGAGACCGTTGCGGTCAAAAACCAAGGATCGAGAGACTGCTGAGGTCGAATGCCGAGAACCAAGAGACCGTTGCGGTCGAAAACCAAGAACCGAGTAATCGCCGATAAGATCAAAAGTCGAGAGTCGAGAGATCGCTGAGGTCGAAATCCGAGAACCGAGAAACCGCTAAGGTCTAAAGCCGAGAACCGAGAGACCATTGCGATCGAAAACTGAGAATCGAGTAATCACCGATAAGATCGAAAGTCGAGAGTCGAGAGATCGCTGAGGTCGAAAGCCAAGAACAGAGGGACCGCTGAGGTCGAAAGCCGAGAACCGAGAGACCGCTGAGGTCAAAAGCCAAGAACCGAGAGACCGCTGAGGTCAAAAACCGAGAATCAAGAGACCGTTGCGGTCGAAAACCAAGAATCGTGTAATCACCGATGAGGTCGAAAGCCGCGAATTGAGAGACCGCTGATGAGGTCGAAAAACAAGAACTGAATGACCACTCCCGAAATTTTGAATTTGAAAAATTTGAATTTATGCCCGTTGTGTTTCGATCACCATGTTCGAGCTCTTTTTTACCACCTCGTCCTATCGCCCCTCAGTTCAAAATTTAAAATTCAAGCCTGCTGTGTATCCTCTCAAAACCTAAACGACTTGACTTCGTGAACTACTCTGAATGAACTCCCTCGACCTGCCACCGAGGTCAAAAAATAAATTCGACAAGACCAAACCAATCAAAAACCATCAACCTACTCGAATAACGATGAATACCATCGACCTGCCAATGGGATCGAGAAAATCAAATCCAACAAAACCGGATTCAAGTACACCGTCAGCCTGCTCGAACAATAATGAGTACCATCTTCTCGACCTGCCACTGAGATCGAAAAATAAATTTGATACAACTGGAATGAAATAAGGAACCATCAACCTGCTCGAGCCATCATGAATACTATCGACCTGCCACTGAGGTTGGAAAGATCAAATCTAACAAAATATGAATCAAGCAAACCATCAACCTGCTCGAGCAACAACGAATATCATCAAATCTAACAAATCCTGAATCAAGGAAACCATCAACCTGCTCGAACAATAATGAGTACCATCTTCTCGACCTACCACTGAAATCGAAAAATAAATTTGATACAACCAAAACAAAATGCAATCAACCTGCTCGGGCCGTTATGAATATCCTCGACCTACCACCGAGGTCTGCTCGAGCTATCCGTAATGAATCCCATCTCCCTGCCCTTGAAGTCGAAAAATAAATTCGACGAAAATGTAATCAAATAAAGATCATCGACCTGCCACCGAGGTCTGCTCGAGCTATCTGTGATGAGTTTGATCGACCTGCCACTGAGTTTAAAAGCACAAATACCACAAAACCAAAATCGAATAAAACCATTGACCTGCTCAAGATGTCCGTGACGAGTTTGATCGACCTGCCACTGGGATTAAATTCGCAAATACCACAAAACCAAATCAAATAAACTGTTAATATCCTCGAGCTATCCATA